TAGGTCGAGTGCAAAAAGCACCTTTAAAACAGATATTTAGACTTTGCTCACAAGTTAACCACTGATCTTGTAATTGATGCAAATAAATACATCGGGAAAACATCTGGTCAAATCAATAATGTTAAATAAAATGATATGATATGATGTAATCACCTTATTATGAACTATAATGTGAACTAACTAGTTTTAAGGGATAAAACAACAATCTGATCCATAATCCAACACCTCTGACATGTTTCTTATTGGTTTATCTTCACATCATTCATTAATGAGGTTAATCTCCAACTGAGCTTTTTTTGTGGTCATAAATAGTCTCAATAGTCTCCACATACTGTATAATTCATATGCTGCATCCTCGCTTGGAAAATGTCTTCATTTTGAATGATACAAACAGTTTTTCTGGGTAGTCATGTGAATCTAACACTGCTCAAGCCATCACTGCATCAACAACACTGGAGTTACATGACTGTTCAGAGAAACTGTTAATAAATGATACATTTAACAGTACATCAAACTGATAACAAAGATGTACATGTTTAATAAAATCCGGAATTTACATTAGGAAGGGCAACAATTAGTATTTCCATTAAGTTCTTTAGCTGATATGGTAAAATGGTGGACTTATTTATAATCAGCAGCCAGTTATGTGCGTTAAATCCATGTGAAATTAAATGAACTGTAAGTCATTATTTTTTAATTTGTAAAGCAACTCATAGTGAAACTCATAATAAAAAATACAAGATTAAATAAATCCAAATATCCACTATATATATATATATATATATATATGTGTGTGTGTGTGTGTGTGTGTATATATATATATATATATATATTAGGGGTGCAACGATACACAAAATTCACGGTTCGGTTCGATACTTTGGTGTCACGGTTTGATAATTTTTCGATACAAAAAAAATGTTCATGCCTTTTTAATTAGTCACTTATTAAAATTATAAATATATATTTTAACTCAAAAGTACAGTTTTTCAATTTTATGTTGCTGAAACAAAAAAGTAATAAAAATAAATAAATCTATCTGATCAAGGAATCACTCATCTTTGGAAAAGAGAGTTTATTAAAGAGAAATGGCTCTTTCCAAAATAAAAGCTATACTATACGCTTCTTCTGGG